AATGTGAAGCAGGGAGAAGGAGGCAGGGTCTTTCTTTCCGTCACATCCCGAGATCTTCTGTTCGCCTGTCCCTATCTACCACAATAAGCCACGGGGATGGATCTGGGGTGAGCAGAGGGATCAGCAATAGGGATGGATCAGGCGTAAACACAGGGATAAGGAATCGGGATCTATCTGGGCCGAGCACTTGGATCAGCAATGAGGATGGATCTTGGGTGATCGGAGGGATGGGAATAGAGGTAAATCAAGGGTGAGCACATGGTTTAGCAATGGGGATGGTTCTGGGGTGAGTACAAGGATCAGCAATTGAGATGGATCTGGGGTGAGCACAGGGATCAGCAATGGAGATGCATCTGGGTTGAGCACAGGAAACTGCAATAGCGAAGGGTCTCGTGTGAGCACAGGGTTTGGAATAGGGATGGTTCTGGGGTGAGCACAAGGATCAGCAATGGGGATGGATCTGGGGTTAGCACAGGGATGGGAATGGGGATTGATCTGGGGTGAGCACGGAAATCGGCCATGGGGGTGGAGCTGGGATGAGCACAGGGATCAGCAATGGGGATGGATGTGGGCTGATGACAGGGATAAGAAATGGGGATGGATCTGGGGTGTGCACAAGGATCAGCAATGGGGATGGGTCTTGTATTGAGCACAGGGATCAGCAATGGGGATGTATCTGGGCTGAGCACAGGAATAAGCAATAGGGATGGATCTGGCGTGAGCACAGGCGTGGCAATGGGGACGGATCTGAGTTGAGCACAGGGAAATGAAAAGGGGATGGATCTGGGGCGAGCACAAGGAGGAGAATGGGGATGAATCTGTGGTTAGCACAGGGATCGGCAGTGGAGATGGATCACGTGTGAGCCCAGGGATCAGTAATTGGGATGGATATGGGGTGAGCACTGGGATAAGGAATGGGGACGAATATGTGTTGCGCCGAGGGATCATGATTGGGGATTTATCTTGGGTGAGCACAGGGATCCTCAATGGGGAGGGATCTGGGGTGAGCACAGCAAAGAGCAATGGGGAAGGATCTGGTGTGAGTACAGCGATCAGAAATGGGGATGGATCAGTGTTGGTGAGATTGTCGCGGGAAAACGAGTCTCATGGTATCATGGTCAACACGTTTTTCAGTTTATTGGAGTCGATTACAGTTTCTTTATACAAGCACTAACTAGTTCATACATGTTGCAAAAGCGAAGCTCAGGATTGGTTACCTTTCTATTAACACATATATCTCTTTGCGATAAGCCTTGCGGTTACTGCTTCTTTATACTTGATTACTTTTCTGCATACCAAGCAATATTTCATTTTTATCGAGACATCTGTATACTCAAGGTTGTTAGGAGATGTCTGGCTCTAAAGTTTGATAGAAAACATCTGTTTCTCAAGGGCATAGTTTTCATGCTACAAGTCATGTATTCTCACACTCTCATCAACTTAACTTTTTCGTGTCCCTTGCTGCGCAGCTATTCTTTAGCTAAACTCTCGACATTTCCCCTGTTTTTTTTTATAAGTAAGTAAGGATGTGTTCTATTTTTGTTTTATAATTGACATTAAAGTCTTTTGCAAGCACTGAAATACACACGGCAATACAATCATTAAAATTACTATAACTAACAATCTTACTATTATAATCTGCAAAAGGTGTTTAAGCTAACTCGTAATTTCCCATGATTTAAATGATAATTTAAAAAATGTATCATTTCTCTGTAACATTTGAACATGTTGTTGCAAACGCTGAATTTTCTTATGAATAGATTCGGAACTATTTTTCAAATTCATACAGCACATTCCTTCAAAATTTTTGCACTCATGTCTTTGTGCTATTTGAATTCATTTGAGCTCGGGTCCATGTTTTGAACTCTGCCATGGGACCCAACGAGACTCCAATTAAATAAGTATTAAAGGAGTTAGACGGTGTGGCTAACAGGCAGAATGAATCTTGCCTAGTTTGTTTGGCTTAAGTGATCCGCATATTTTCTCTTTTTGTTAATGTCAAGGATTTTAGATACTTCAACAACTAAAATACTGCTTAATAAAAATATTGTGGCCCACCACATATTTCTTAGGTTTTTGAATGCTCTGTTTTAACATGAAAGAAACAAATTTAATTCTAAACATAAACTATAACTTCTAATAAACTAACTTCTGATAAATTTAACTTCACACTTCTGATATTCTAAGTTATTTCTCTGTGCTCTACAAAATTAATTTTTATTAGAACTGGATTAATCACGGGATGTTCTAGGCAAACTGTTGTTATTGACGTTATCACTGAAGGTTGGTATCTTTTTCATCTATTTTTAAAATTCTGTTTCTGCCTTTTCGTATCAATGCAGCAAGATCATCTGTCCTGCCCAGACTTCTTGGTTGGACGGGTAAAAACACTCACTCAAGCAGGATTGCTCTTGATCTAGTTGGGACTCCTTCTTTTTCTTTTGCTATTGAAAGACAATGGCAAAATGAACAGAAAAATTACAGGCATTACTAAAACTTACTAAAACTTAGCAAAAAATTTTAAAACATTATTAAAAACACACTTATAAAAAAACCAAAAAACTTAAAGCCTACGATCTTCTGTGGGTGAAACACAAATTTTTGCACAATCCACTTTTGCTGTGCATCTTCTGATCCACTTGTGGAGAGATCAGTGCCCTCTTGCAATTAATAAGTTCCACATTCTTCACTGAAATTAATCCAGATTCTGCACCTGTTAAAACACAAACAAACCCAACACCCCCCACAGGGACTGGAGGGTCCTCTCTCAATTCTGTTCCCTAAAACTTGCATGAAGAAATTGAAATATCAACATCTTTGTTATAAACATGAAAAAACATTAAAAACAAAACAATGCATATAGTAAAGAAACTAACAACAAATAAAAATTAATTAGATAATACACAATTAATATTACATATAAAATCACAGTTACCAAGTGCTACACTATCAAATTGTCATCCCAGAGTCTGCAGCAGCTGAAAAACCTTAAAACAACAGAGATTTGGATAAAACATGTCCGGATCATGTCTCTCCAAAACTCCCTTTGAGGCTCAGCTGTCCTATATGGTCAAATTGTCAAGCTAAAAGGACTTGAATACTTTTTGATGCAGAAAACAGCTGGGTCAATCACACCATCCACGTAGAGCCAGAGCTTGGCCAGAGCTCGAACTCTAATTGGAGGATATGTTTAAAACAAAAGTCTTAGAAATAACAGTTATAAGTAAAAAACCTTATTATTAAAAATTTATCAAAACATCAAAAAATTGAACCTGTCTAAAATTTCTTTCAAGACAAAAATTCTCTAAATACAACAAACTTTTTCTTCAGAAATCTGAAAATTTGAAGTCTGAAATCTTGAACCAAAACTTGGACTATAAATTTTTAAAAGAAGATGAACTGCAGCTGCATAAAAGATAGGATAAAGAAAACACATGAGTAGTTAAAAAATCAAACACACAGGATCCTGAAAAACACATCTTACGATCAATCACCTAAAAAAACAATAAGACATATAAAAACTGACTGTAAATATTAAAACAACACCTCAATACCTTAACATCTTAATAATAATTCTTATCACAAAATCAGACAACTTACATTATATGATCAGCCTATCAACAAAAAATGTTTAAAATAGTTTAAAACAATTTTTCCAAAGCATTCATATAACATTAGTAACAATCATTACTTATCATTACCTACAAAAACTTGACAATCATCACTTATCTTATTATCTATAAAATTCAAAAATCATCATTACCTATATTATTATTTGTAAAAACTCAAAAACAGAAATTGTGAACTCAATGCCAACATTCCAACTGACTGACTTTTCTCAAATCTTTGTTTTCAGAGACATTTTTGGCCATTAAATAATTATTAACATTTCTATCTTTTTTTTTTTTTTTTCAGTAATTTTCATCCACATTGTATTTGAAATAACTTTGATTTGCATAATGTCCATCTCTCTTGGTATCTTGGAAAACACTCGGTACTGCTATACTTTTTGATTATGTCTTCTGACTCTTGCGAGGAATTGAAAAAATTCTGTTGAAAATTTTGCTGTAGTGTTGCAATCCCTCCCTTGGTGACACTGCTGCTCTCGGCGTTGTTGTTACCGTGGCAACCAGGCTGTGCAGCCGTCTCTGCCGCCATTGCTGGGTGCTGCGGGGAGATGAGGGGGGCGGCGCCGTCTCGCTCCTGTCCTGTCCACGGTGGTGGGGTGGGGGCTGCCTGGGGCGGGGGTCTGCGCTGCTGTTGTCTGTGTAACTCTCTCTGCGATCCCACTAGCAGGGCTGTGCCCGGCCCCCCCAAACCGCGCCAGGTTGCTTGCCGCCGCCGCCGCCGCTGGGTACCGGCGAGCCGCGCTTCTGCGCATGCACGCACCCCCGGCAGCCGCCGCCGCTGCTGCTGCGGGGGGGCGAGGGGCCAGCGCCGCCGCGCTCCCGTCTCCGCCCTGGTCTCCGCCTTGATTTCCGCCCCTGAGTTCCTCCTCCTGACTCAGCCCTGTTTCGTCACCAACTCCGCCTGCCTCCTCAGGTGTCTCCCCGCCTCCCGAGGGACCCGACGGGGCCCGTTCCGGGTTCGCCTCACTCCGCGGGACCGCCGAGCTGTTAACATCCGCCGCTTGCGAGCACACTTCCGCCCCGGGCGCGGCCATGCGTCCGCTTTGTCCCGTGTCGGCCGGCCCTGTGCCGCCTGGCTCTGCGCTTTCCTCCCAACGAGCTAAAAAATCCCTGACGGAGAGACTGACTGGAGCTTTCTGCCCTCGCACTGGCCGCATATTACAAACATTAATGAATTTTTCAACTCGAGATGGCTTCTGAACTTCTGTCTGTCCTGATGTGGGTTGCTCAAATGCCTGAATTGCGGCTTCCGCTGCTTTTTTCTCCGCAGGCATGCTTTGCAGGGTATGTAAAACTTTTTTCCAAACGCCTCCGAGCTCCAACAGTGTTTTCTTGTCTTTTCCGCCCTCTATCAGTGCGTCCCAAAGCAGCTGCCCAAACTCTTGCCATTCGGTTTCACTAAAAATCAGCGAAGGTTTTTGCAGCTTGCCTTTGCTTCTTGCTCACAGGACCAAGTGTTCCAAATCGGCTTCTTTAACTTTTTCAGCTCTCTTTGAGAGAATATGAAAGAGAAGATGTACAGAAGCCTGGAGATCCCTATATAAATAAAGCCCTTTAAATTGCCTCCGTCTGAGAAAGGAGGTGAAAAGGTTATATGCTGCTTGCCTATCCATTACTCACGTCAGCGCTGTTGCAGACCCTCTAGGCTTCGGCAGCACGTATCGGCTGAGCCTGCCGTTGCGGTCACTCAGGGCGCGGCTCCAGGTAGAGCCTAATCGCCGTCCGTCTAGCTGCGGGACCCGAACCCAACGCAACGTCTCACAGATCCAGGCGGGGGGGTCCCGTCCATTCGGGCGCCATATGTTGGTGAGATTGTCGCAGGAAAACGAGTCTCATAGTATCATGGTCAACACGTTTTTCAGTTTATTGGAGTCGATTACAGTTTCTTTATACAAGCACTAACTAGTTCATACATATTGCAAAAGCGAAGCTCAGGATTGGTTACCTTTCTATTAACACATATATCTCTTTGGGATAAGCCTTGCGGTTACTGCTTCTTTATACTTGATTACTTTTCTGCATACCAAGCAATATTTCATTTTTATCGAGACATCTGTATACTCAAGGTTGTTAGGAGATGTCTGGCTCTAAAGTTTGATAGAAAACATCTGTTTCTCAAGGGCATAGTTTTCATGCTACAAGTCACGTATTCTCACACTCTCATCAACTTAACTTTTTCGTGTCCCTTCCTGCGCAGCTATTCTTTAGCTAAACTCTCGACAGGTCAGGGGTGGGCAAAGGGATCAGTAATAGGGATGGATCTGGGGTGAGCATAGGGATCAGCAATGGGGATGGATCTGGGCTGAGAACAGGGATCAGCAATGGGGATGGATCTGGGGTGAGCACATAGATTGGAATCGGGATGGATATGGGGTGAGAACCGGGAGCAGCAATGGGGATGCATCTGGAGTTAGCACTGGAATGGGAAAATAAATAGGAATGGGAATGGATCTGAAGTGACCAGCAGGATTGGAATAGGGATGGATTGGGGGTGAGCACCGGGGTGGGATATAAAATGGATCTGGGCTTAGCACAGGGATCAGCAATGGGAATGGATCTGGGGTGAGCACAGGGATCAGGAATGGGGATGGATCTGTGGTTAGCAGAGGGGTTGGAATGGGGATGGATCTGGGGTGAGCACAAGAAACAGCAATGTTGGAGGATCTGGTGTCAGCACAGGGATCAGAAATGGGGATGGATAAGGGGTGAGCACAGGGATCAGCAATGGAGGTATATCTCGGTTGAGCACAGGGATCGGCAACGGGGATGGATCTGGTCTGAGAACAGGGATCAGCAATGGGGATGGATCTGGGGTGAGCACAGAGATTGGAATAGGGATGGATCTGGGGTGAGAACAGGGATCAGCAATGGGGATGCAACTGGAGTTAACACAGGGATGGGAATATGGATGGGAATGGGGATGGTTCTGGGGTGAGAACCAGGATGGGAATAGGGATGGATCGGGGTTAGCATTGGGGTGGGATCAAGGATGGATCTGGGCTAAGCACAGGGATCAGCAATGGGGATGGATCTGGGGTGAGCACAGGGATCAGCAATGCGAATGGATATAGCGTGAGCGCAGGGATGGAATCTGGGTTGGATCTGAGGTGAGCACAAAGATCAGCAAAAAGGATGCATCTGGGGTGAGAACAGAAAACAGCAATGGGGAACGATCTGGTGTGAGCACAGGGATTAGCAATGGGGGTGGATCAGGGGTGGGAAAAGGGATCAGCAATTGGGATGGATCAGAGGTGAGCACAGGGATCAGCAAAGGAGATGTATCGGGGTTGAGCACAAAGATCAGCAACGGGGATGGATCTGGGCTGAGAACACAGATCAGCAATGGGGATGGATATGGCGTCAGCACAGGGATCAGCGATGGGCATGGATCTAGGGTGAGCACAGGGATCATCAATGGGGATGGATGTGGGGTGAGCACAGGGATTAGAAAAAGGGATGGATATTGGGTGAGCCCAGGGATCAGCAATGGGGATGGATTTCGGGTGAGCGCAGGGATGGGAATGGGGATAGATCTAGAGTGATCACAGGTATGGGATTGGGAATGGATCTGAGGTGAGCACTGGGATCCGAATGGGGATGGATCTGGTATGAGGCGATAGTAGGAATAGGGATGGATCACGGGGGAGCACCGGGGTGGGATGGGGGATGGATCGGGTCTTAGCACAGGGATCCGCAATAGGGATGGATATGGGGTTAGCCCGGGGATCAGCAATGGGGATGGATATGGTGTGAGCGCAGGGATGGAATCTGGGGTGGATCTGGGGTGAGCACTGGGATCAGCAATGCGGATGGACCTGGGGTGAGCACTGGGCCAGCAACGCGGATGGACCTGGGGTGAGCATAGGCATCAGCAATGGGGATGGATCTTGGCAGAGCACAGGGATGGGAATGGGGATGGTTCTGGAGTGAGCAGAAGGATGGGAATAGGGATGGATCTTTGGTGAGCACAGGGATCAGCAATGGGCATGGATCTGGGGTGGGCACAGGGTTTGGAATGGGGATGGTTCTAGGGGGAGCACAAGGATCAGCAATGCAGATGGATTGGGGGTGAGCACAGGGATCAGCACTGGGGATGCATCTGGGGTGAGCACAGGAAACAGCAATGGGGAAGGGTCTGGTGTAAGCACAGAGATCAGCAATGGGGATGGATGTGGGCTGATTACAGGGATCAGCAATGGGGATGGATCTTGGGTGATAACAGGGGTGGGAATAGAGGTGGATCCGGGGTGAACACAGGGATAAGCAATGGGCATGGATCTGGGGTGAACACAGAGATAGGAATGCAGATGGATCTTTGGCGAGGACAGGAATGAGTAATGGGGATGGATCTGGGGTGAGCCCAGGGATGGGAATGGTGATGGATCTGGGGTGAGCACAGGGGTTAGAAATCGAAAGGGATCTGGACTGAGCCCTGGGATGAGCAATAGGGATGTATCTGGGGTGAGCACAGGGATCAGCAGTAGGGATGGATCTGGGGTGAGCACAGGGATTAGAAATCGGGAGGGATCTGGACTGAGCCCTGGGATAATCAATAGGGATGTATCTGGAGTGAGCACAGGGACCAGCAATGGGGATGGATATGGGGTGAGCACAGGGGTTGAAATGGGGTTGGATCTGGGGTTAGCAAAGGTGTGGGAATGGGGATGGATCTGGGGTGAGCACAGGGATGGGAATGCGGATGGATCTTGGGTGAGAACAAGGATCAGCAATGAGGATGGATCTGGGGTGAGCACTGGGATGGAAAGGGCATGGATCTGGGGTGAGCACAGGGTTCAGTAAAGGGGATGTATCTGGGGTGAGCAGAGGGATCAGTAAAGGGGATGGATATGGGGTGAGCACAGGGTTCAGCAAAAAAGATGGATCAGGGGTGAGCACAGGAATTAGCAATCGGGATGGATCTGGGCCGAGAACTTGGATGAGCAATGGGGATGGATCTTGGGTGAGAACAGGGATGGGAATGGGGATGGATCTGGGGTGAGCAGAGGGATCAGCAATTGGGATGGGTCTGGGGTGAGCGCAGGAATGTTAATGGGGATGGTTATGAGGTTAGCACAGGGATGGGAATGGGGCTGGATCTGGGTTGAGCACAGGGATCAGCCATGGGGATGAATTTGGGCTATGCACAGGGATGGGAATGGTGATGGATCTGGGGTGAGCACATCGATGGCAATAACGATGGATCAAGGTGAGAACAGGGATCAGCAATAAGGATGGATGAGGGGTGAGCACAGTAATTAGCAATCGGGATGGATCTTGCTGAGCACATGGATCCGCAATGGGGATTGATCTTAGGTTATAACAGGGTTGGGAATAGAGGTGGATCCGGGGTATGCACAGGGATGGGAATGGGGATGGATCTTGGTTGAGCACAGGGATTCGAATAGGGATGGATCTCGGGTTAGCACAGGAATCCTGAATTTGGATCGATCTGGGGTGAGCAGAGAGATCAGCAATGGTGATTGATATGGGGTGAGTACAGGGGTGAGAATAGGAAAGGATCTAGGGTGAGCACACTGATTGGAATGGGAAGGACCTGGGGTGAGCACAAGAATCAGCAATAAGGATGGATCTGGGGAGAGAAAAAAGGTGGGAATGGGAATGGATATGAGGTCAGAACAGGGATAGGAATTGGGATGGATCTGGGGTGAGCACAGGGTTCCGCAATGGGGGTGGATATGAGGTGAGCACAGGGATCAGGAATAGGGATGGATATGGGGTGAGCACAGGGATCCACAATGGGAATGGATCTGGATTGAGCATCAGGATCAGCAACGGTGATGGATCTGGGGCGAGCACAGTGATGGGAATGGGGATGGATCTGGGGTGAGTAGAGGGATCAGCAATGGGGATGGATCTAAGTTGATCACAGGGATGGGATTGGGGATGGATGTGGGCTGATCACAGGGATCAGCAATGCGGATGGGTCTGGGGTGAGCCCAGGGATCAGGAATGAGGATAAATTTTGGGTGAGCACAAGAAACATCAATGGGGATGGATTTGCGGTGAGCACAAGGGTGTAAATGGGAATGGTTATGAGGTTAGAACACTGATGGGAATGGGGATGGATCTTTGGTGAGCACAGGGATGAGGAATGGGGATGGATCTGGGCTGAGCCAAGTGATGCGACTGGCGATGGATTTGGGAATAGCACAGGGATGAGCAATTGGGATTGATCTGGACTGAGCACTAGGATCAGCAATGGGGGTGGATCTGGGGTGAGCACAAGAACTGGTATGGGGATGGATTTGGGGTGAGCACAGGGATCAGCATTAGGGATGGATCTGGGGTTAGCACGGGGATCAGCAATGGGGACGGATATGGGGTGAGCAGAGAGGTGGAAATGGGGGTGGATCTACGGTGAGCCCAGAAATGGGAATGAGGATAGATCTGGCGTTAGACCAAGGATCCACAATGAGGATGGATCTGGGGTGAGAACAGGAGTGGGAATGGGGATGGATCTGGGTTGAGCACAGGGATGGGAATGGTGATGCATCTTGGGTGAGCACAGGGATCAGCAATAGAGATGGATCTGCGGTGAGCACTGGGATCAGCAATGGGGATGGATCTGGGGTGAGCACATGGATGGCAATACGGATGGATCTGGGTTGAGCACAGGGTTCAGCAATAAGGATGGATCAGGGTGAGCACAGGAATTAGCAATCGGGATAGATCAGGGCTGAGAACTTGGATCAGCAATGGGGATGGATCTTGGGTGATCACAGGGGTGGGAATAGGGGTGGTTTCGGGGTGAGCAGAGGGATAAGCAATGGGGATGGATCTAGGGTGAGCACAGGGATCCGAAATGGGGACTGATCTTGGGTGAGCACACGGATGGGAATGGGGATAGATCTGTGGTGAGCACAGGGATCAGCAATAGGGAAGGATCTGGGGTGAGAACAGGGATAAGCAATGGGTATGTATGTGGGTTGAGAAGAGGGATCATCCATGGGGATGTATCTGGGCTGAGCACAGGGATTTGAATGGGGATGGATCTGGGGTGAGCACAGGGATAAGGGATAGGGATGGATCTGCGGTGAGCAGAGTGATCAGCAATTAGGATGGATCTTGGGGGAGCACAGGGATCAGCAATGGGGATTGATCTGGGGTGAGCACAGTGATGGGAATAGGGATGGATCTGGGGTGAGAACAAAAATCAGCAAGTAGGATGGATCCTGGGTGAGCTCAAAAATCAAAGATTAGGATGGATCTGAGGTGAGAACAAGGGTGGGAATGGGAATGGATATGAGGTGAGAACAGAGATAGGAATTGGGATGGATCTGAGATGAGCACAGGGTCCAGCATTGGGGGTGGATCTGAGGTGAGCGAAAGGATCAGCAATGGGGATGGATCTGGGAAAACACAGGGATCCGCAACGGTAATGGATGCGGGGTGAGCAGAAGGATCAGGAATGGACATGGATCTGGGGTGAGCACAGTGATGGGAATTGGGATGGATCTGGGGTGAGCGCATGGATCAGCAATGGGGATGGATCGGGGGTAAGCACATGGATAGCAATAGGGATGGATCGGGGGTGAGCGCATGGATCAGCAATGGGGATGGATCAGGGGTAAGCACATGGATGGCAATAGGGATGGATCGGGGGTGAGCACAGGGTTCAGCAAAAAGAATGGATCAGGGGTGAGTACAGGGATTAGCAATCGGGGTGGATCTGGGCTTAGCATTTGGATCAGCAATGGGGATGGATCTTGGGTGATCACAGGGATGGGAATAGAGGTGGATCCGGGGTGAGCACAGGGATAGGCAATGGTGATGGATCTTTGGTGAGCACAGGGATGGAAACTGGGATGGATCTGGGGTTAGCATAGGGATTAGCAATAGGGATGGATCTGAGGTTAGCACGGGGATCAGCAGTGGGGGTGGAAATGGGCTGAGGACAGGGGTGGAAATGGGGGTGGATCTAGGGTGAGCCCAGGGATGGGAATGAGGATGGATCTGGGGTGACAACAGGAGTGGGAATGGGGATGGACCTTGGGTGAGCACAGGGATGGGAATGGGGATGGTTATGAGGTTAAGACAGGGATAGGAATGGGGCATGATCTGGGTTGAGCACAGTGATCAGCCATGGGGACTGCTCTTGTGTGAGAACAGGGATCAGCTATGGGGATGGATTAGGGGTTTGCACAGGGATCAGCAATGGGGATTAATTTGGGCTGTGCACAAGGATGGGAATGGTGATGGATCTAGGGTAAGCACATCGATGGCAATAGTGATGGATCAAGGTGAGCACAGGGATTAGCAATCGGGATGTATCTGGCTGAGCACATGGATCAGCAATGGGGATTGATCTTAGGTGATCACAGGGTTGGGAATAGAGGTGGATCTGAGGTGAGCACAGTGATGGGAATGGGGAGGACCTTGGGTGAGCACAGGAATCAGCAATAAGGATGCATCTGGGGTGGGCACAGGGTTCCGCAATGGGGGATGGATCTGAGGTGAGCACAGGGATCAGGAATGGGGATGGATATGGGGTGAGCACAGGGATCCATAATGGGAATGGATCATGGGTGAGCATCAGGATCAGCAACGGTGATGGATCTGGGGTGAGCACAGTGATGGGAATGGGAATGGATCTGGGGTGAGCAGACCGATCAGCAATGGGGACGGATCTAAGGTCATCACAGGGATGGGAGTGGGGATGGATGTGGGCTGATCACAGGGATCAGCAATGCGGATGGGTCTGGGGTGAGCCCAGGGATCAGGAATGAGGATAAATTTGGGGTGAGCACAAGAAACATCAATGGGGATGGATCTGGGGTGAGCACAGGGATAAGAAATAAGGGTTTATCTGGGGTGAGAACAGGGATCAGCAATGGGGATGTATGTGGGTTGGGCGCAGGGGTAGGAATAGGAAAGGATCACAGTGATGGGATTAGAGGTGGATCTGTGGTGAGCGCATGGATCATCACTGGGGATGGATCTGGGGTGAGCACAGGGATGGGAATGGGGATAGATCTGGGCAGAGCACAGGGATAAGGAATTGGGATGGATCTCAGGTGAACAGAGGGATCAGCAATGGGGATGGATCTGGGGAGAGCACAGGGGTCAGCAAGGAGGATAATTTTGGGGTGAGCACAAGGATCACCAGTGGGGATGGATCTGCGGTGAGAACAAGGGTGGAAATGGGAATGGATATGAGGAGAGAACAGGGATCGGAATGGGGATGGTTCCGGGGTGAGCATAGGGATCAGCAATGGGGATGGTTCCGGGGTGAGCAGAGGGATCAGCAATAGGGATGGATCTGGGTTGAGCATAGGGAACAGCAATGAAGTCGGATCTGGGGCGAGTCCAGTGATGGAAATGAGGTTGGATCTGGGGTGAGCACATGGATGGCAATAGAGATGGATCTGGGGTGAGTACAGGGATCAGAAAAAAAGATGGATCAGGGGTGAGCACAGGGATGAGCAATGGGGATGGATCTGGGTTGAGCGCAGGGATCAGAAATGGGGATGGATATGAGGTGAGCACAGGGTTAAGAATGGGTGTGAATCTGGGTTGAGCACAGTGATCAGCAATGGGGATGATTTTGTGCTGTGCACATGGATGGGAATGTTGATGGATCTGGGGTGAGCCAAGGGATGGGTATGGCGATGGATCTGGGGTAAGCACAGGGATCAGCAATCGAGATGGATCTGGGCCGAGCACTGGGATCAGAAATGGGGATTGATCTGGGGTGAGAACAGGGATGGAAATGGGGATGGATCTGGGGTGAAACGAGGGATAAGGAATAGGGATGGATCTGGGGTGAGCACAAGGATTAGCATTGGGGATGGATCTAAAGTGAGCACAGGGGTGGGAATGGGGGTGGATCTGGGTTTAGACAAGGGATAGGAATGGTGATGGATCTTGGGTGAACACAAGGAGCAGCAATGAGGATGGATATGGGGTGAGCACAGGGATGGGAGTGGGGATGGATCTGGAGTGAGCAGAGAGATCAGCAATGGGGATGGATCTGGGTTGAGAACAGTAATGGGAATGGTCATGGATCTGGGGTGAGCAGAGGTGTCAGCAATCAGGAAGGATCTGGGCGGAGCACAGGGATCAGGAATGGGGATGGATCTGGGGTGGGCACAGGGATGGGAATGGGGAAGGATCTGGGGTGATCACCGGGATGGGAATGGGTGTGGGAATCTAGGGCTTCCCTCTGGCTGGCCTGGCAGGTCTGGGACCCTGGCAGGGGTCAGGAACCCCCCTGTACAGAGCTCCGAGAGACACTGTCTGTGATCTCTGTCCATTGAGAGGAGTTTTCAATCTTACAGGATGAATTACAAGCTTTGAGTGTTTGATAAGAGTAATAATTAGGTGTGAACCTGGTACAAAAGTAAAATTTTAGGTTTCTAGATAAGGGGTTCAGAGGGGACAAGATGGAAGAATTGGGTGGGTCTTGTCCTTTTCCTCCTTCTTCATGCCCTCCATGTTTCACTGTAGTGTTGGCATTTTTCTATTGGTTTAGGCTGGGAACACGCTGTTCAACGTAGATGATAGATATTGGCACATTATTGTAAATATAGTACAGTAGTTTCTGGTATATAATGTTTGTACCATCCCACTGAGGGCAGAGCCCCACACACTGCCCTGCAGGACAGACCTGCGGCAGGGCAGCAGAACATGTTATAGATAAGCAAGAATAAACAACCTTGAAAACAGCACAGAAAAATTATGGCTTCTTCTTTGGCAGCGGGGCAGAAAGACAGAGACTTTCTACAATCTCGGAATCACCAATACCCACAGAATCCGACAAATGGGGATGGATATGAAGTGAGCACCAGGATGGGAATGGTAGTGGATCTGGGGTGAGCACAGTTATCAGCAATGGGGACTGATCTTGGGTGAGCACAGGGACGAGCAATCAGGATGGATCTGGGCTAAGAACAGGGGTGGAAATGGGGGTGGATCTGGGGTGAGCCCAAGGATGGGAATGGGGATGGATTTGGGGTGAGCACCGAGATCAGCAATGGGGTTTGATCTTGGGTGAGCAGTGGGATCAGCAATGGGGATGGATCTGGAGAAAGAACTGCAATGGGGATGGTGATGGATCTGGAGTTAGCAGCGGGGTAAGCAATCAGGTAGGGTCTGGGCTGAGCACAGGGATCAGCAAAGAGGATGGATCTTGGGTGAGCAGAAGGATCAGCAATGGGGATGGATCTGAGATGAGCACAGGGATCAGCAATAGGGATGTATCTGGGTTGACCACAGGGATCAGCAATGGGGATGGATCTGGACTTAGCACAGGGATGGGAAAGGGGATGGATCTGGGGTTAGCAAAGGGATCAGCAATATGGATGGATCTGGGGTGAGCACAGTGATGGGAATGAGGATGGATCTGGGGTGTAAAAAAGAATCAGCAATGAGGATGGATCTGGGGTGAGCACAGGGATCAGCAATATGGATGGATCTGGGGTGAGCACAGTGATGGGAATGAGGATGGATCTGGGGTGTAAAAAAGAATCAGCAATGAGGATGGATCTGGGGTGAGCACAGGGATCAGCAATGGGGATTGATCTCTGGTGAGCAGAGGGATCAGCAACGGGGATGGATCTGGAGTGAGAACTGCAATGGGGATGGTGATGGATCTGGGGTGAGCAGAAGTGTCAGCAATCAGGAAGGATCTGGGGTGGGCACAGGGATCAGCAATAGGGATGGATCTGGGGTGGGCACAGGGATCAGCAATAGGGATGGATCTGGGGTGAGCACCGCGATCAGCAATGGGGATGGATATTGTGTGAGCACAGGGTTGGGAATGGGAATGGATCTGGGGTGAGCACAGGGATCAGAAATAAAGGGTGTATCTGGGGTGAGAACAGGGATCAGCAACGGGGATGTATGTGGGTTGGGCGCAGGGGTAGGAATAGGAAAGGTTCTGGGGTGAGCACAAGGATCAAGAATAGGGATTGATCTGGGTTGAGAAGAGGGATCATCATTGGAGATCAATAAGGGTTGAGCACAGGGGTAAGAATTGGAAAGGATCTGGGGTGAGAACAGTGATAGGAATGGGGATGGATCTGCAGTGAGCACAAGAATCAGCAATGAGGATGGATCTGGGGTGAGCACAACAATCAAAAATGAGGATGGATCTGGGGTGAGCACAAGGGTGGGAATGGGAATGCATATGAGGTGAGAACAGGGATAGGAACTTGGATTGATCTGGGGTGAGCACAGGGATCAGAAATGGGGATTGATCTGGGTTGAGCACAGGGACCGCAAAGCGAGTGGATCTGGGGTGAGAAGTAGGATCAGGAATGGGCATGGATCTGGGGTGAGCACAGTGATGGGTATGGGGATGGATCTGAGGTGAGAACAGGGATGGAAATGGGGATGGGTCTGGGGTTAGCACAAGGATCAGAAATGTGGATTGATCTCGGGTGAGCACCGGGATGGAAATGGGGATGGATCTGGGGTGAAACGAGGGATAAGGAATAGGGATGGATCTGGGGTGAGCACATGGATGGCAATAGGGATGGATCTGGGGTGAGCAGAGGGATCAGCAATAAGGATTGATCAGGGGTGAGCACAGGGATTAGCAATCAGGATGGATCTGGGCTAAACACAGGGCAAGGAATGGGGTTAGATCTGGGGTGAGCAAAGACATCAGAAATGCAGATGGATGTGGTCTGATCATAGGGATCAGCAATGGGGACTTATCTGGGGTGAGCAGAGAGATCAGCAATGGGGATGGATCTGAGGTGAGCACAGGATCAGCACTGGGGATGGATCTGGGATGAGCGTAGGTATCAGGCCTGGGGATGGAGCTAAGATGAGCACACGATTGGGAATGGGGGTGGATTTGGGGTTAACCCAGGGATGGGAATGGGGATGGATCTGGGGTGAGAACAATGATCAGCAATGAGGAATGATCTGGGGTGAGCACAGCGATGGGAATGGGGATGGATCTGGGGTGAGCACAGGGATCAGCAATGGGGATGGATCTAGGTTGAGCACAGGGATCAGCAATGGGGATGGATCTGGGCTGAGCGAGGGGATGGGAATGGGATGAATCTGGGGTGAGCACAGGGATCAGGAATAGGGATGGATCTGGAGTGAGCACAGGGATGGGAATAAGAATTTATCTGGGGTGAGCACAGGGATCAGAAACTGGGATGGATGTGGGCTGATCATACGGATCAGCAATGGGGATGGATCTGGGCTAAACACAGGGATGAGCAGCGGGGATGGATCTGGAGTGAGGACAGCAATGGGAATCGGTATGGATCTGCGGCGAGCAGAGGGATCAGCAAACGGGAAGGATCTGGGCTGAGCACAGAGATCTGCAATAAGGATGGATCAGGGGTGAGCACAGGGGTCAGCAATGGGGATAGATTTGGGGTGACCAGAGGGGTCAGCAATGAGGAAGAATGTGGGCAGAGCAAAGGGATCAGCAATTGGGATTTATCTGCGGTTAGCCCAAGGATCAGCATAGGGGATGGATCTGCGATGAGCACTGTGATCAGCAATGGGTATGGATCTGCGGTGAGCAGAGGGATGGGACTGTTAATGGGTCTGGGTGTAGCAGAAGGATACGGAATGGGGATGGATATGGGGTGAGCACAGGGGTGGGAATGGGAAAATAACTGGGGTGAGCAAAGGGATCAGCAATAGGGACTGATCTGGGGTGAGCACAGGGATCAGCAATGGGGATGGATCTAAGGTGAGCACAGGGGTGGGAATGAGGGTGGATTTGGGGCGAGCCCAGGGATGGGAATTGGGATGGATCTGGGGTGAGAACAAGGATCAGCAATGAAGATGGATCTAATGTGAGCACAGGGATGGGAATGGGGATGGATCTGGGCTGAGCACAGGGATGAGCAATGGGGATGGACCTGGGGTGAGCACCTGGATCAGCAATGGGGATGGATATGGTTTGAGCAAAGGGATAGGAATGGGGATGGTTTTGTGGTGAGCACAGGGATGAGCAATGGGGGTGTATCTGGGGTGAGAACAAGGATCAGGAATGGGCATTCATTTGGGTTGAGAACAGGGATAAGCAATGGGGATGGATCAGGGCTGAGCACGGGGATGGGAATGGGGATGGATCTGGGGTGAGCACTGGGATCAGGAATAGGGATGGATATAAGGTGAGCAAAGGGATTGTAATTGGGGTGGATCTGGTGTGAGCACAGTGATCAGCAATGGGGACTGATCTTGGGTGAGCGCAGGGACCAGCTATGGGGATGGATCTGGGTTTAGCAGTGGGAACCGCAATGGGGATGGATCTGGGGTGAGCATAGGGATGGAAATGGGGATTGATCTGGAATTAGCACACGGATTAAAAATGGGGGTGTATCTGGGGTGAGAACAGGGATCAGCAATGGGGATGTATGTGGGTTGGGGACAGGGTTCAGCAATGGGGATGGATCTTGGGTGAGCACAGCGTTGGGAATGGGGATGCATCAGGGGTGAGTACAGGGATCAGCAATGGGGATAGATCAGGGGTGAGAACAGCGATGGGAATGGTGATGGATGTGGCGTTAGCAGAGGGGTCAGAAATCGAAAAAGGATCATGGCTGAGCACAGGGATCAGCAATGGGGATGCATGTGTATTGAGCACAGGGATCAGCAATGGTGATGGATCTGAGATGACCACAGGGATGGGAATGGGCATGGATCTGGGGTGAGCAGAGGGATTAGCAATGAGGATGGATCTGGGGTGAGAACAGCAATGGTAATGGTGATTGATCTTGGGAGAGCAGAGGGGTCTGCAATGAGGAAGGATCTGGGCTGAGCCCAGGGATAAGCAATGGGGATGGATCTGGGATGAGCACTGTGATCAGCAATGGGTATGGATCTGCGGTGAGCAGAAGGATCAGGAATGGGGATGGATCTAGGGTGAGCACAAGGATGGGAAAAGGGTTGTATCTGGGGTGAACACAGGGTTCAGCAATACGGATGGGTCTGGGGTGAGAACAGGGATGGGAATGGGGATGGATATAAGGTGAGCAAAGGGATTGTAATGGGGGTGGATCTGGGGTGAGGACAGTTATCAGCAATGGGGACTGATCTTTGGTGAGCACAGACACCAGCTATGGGGATTGATCTGGGGTGAGCACAGGGATCAGCAATTGTTACGGTGAGCTCCTAAACACCTATTTGTCCGCCCTTTCCCCGGGCCTCTGTGGCTCTGATCATGATAATCCCTGGATCCTCCTTCC